ATCTATTTTTAAAATAGAAAATTCAAATAGACAAAAAAAAAACTCATGTTAGGTTTAAGGATAAACAGACTAGAACTGATGACTTCCATCACGTCAAGTTGACACTCTACTACAGAATTATATCCCGTACTGATCTAATCGAGAAATAGAACTAACTAATCATAAGGTAAAAAGACGAGAAATTAAACGATATTATTCTTGAATAGCTGGGAATCGAGTCTTTTTCGCAATGTAATATTATGGATAGTCAAATAATGGAAAAAATTAAATTCCATTTTTCTAATCTAATTCAAATAATTTTTACTTTAAATGAGATGAAATTGAAATTATATTATTTTAATTTCTACATAAATTTAAAAATATTAAAGATATTTACTATATAATAATAAAATATTAGCATATATATTTCAAATATAGATTTTTTTATAATAAGCATGAAATTACATTTATGTAATTAGTAGATAATTTCAAATAATGAAATATTTATTATAAAATATTAAGCATCTATCAAAAAAAAATGATGCATTTTAATATTTTAAGAACAATAATGAAAATTATATAAAAATAATATCTGCAAACTCAGATTATTATAATAATTTATAACACTTCATTAGCTGCCCTTGAGCAGAAATGGGTCACAAGGCTCTGTATTTGCAGAATCTCCGCTTAATTACATTTTTGCCCCCCGGACTCCCATTTCCCAAATCACAACTCCTACAGGTTTGACAGCCGGAGATTCTAACGATACAGAGCCCTTTTTTATTCAACACTGAATACATCATGGAAGAAGGAACAAAACTATAAAACACCCTTCCTCGACTAGGACTATTCAGGGAAACGGCAAGTTTACCGGTTGTGAAGCGGGTCCGGGCAGCTAGGTACCAGACGCTTGCTATCGTTTAACTGTGCCGCCGGCAAAGTCGCCGGAAGTTTGCTGATGAAGGCTTCAACCTTCGCCGGCATATCTCGCATCGCTTCCGCGAAAGGGTGAAGAGCCCAGATGCTTATGAGGAGGAAGAGGAGGGAGAAAAACGCCTGTCGCGCGGCTGTCTGCATCGCCGGAATTTCCACCGCCATTGAAGTGGAAAAGAAAGAGAGAGAGAGATGAAGCAGAAAGTGTTTTGGTGGCTTCGCCACGTGAGAGGAAGCCGCCAGCGGCTTTGGGATACGGAGGACGTATTAAAGAGCTGGGAGAGAAGTCGAGATTCACCCCTGTTTATGGAGAAAACTACGGATGGGCCACTGGTAGTTAACGGGATGGTAGCTGGGGAGCTCTCCGCCGTTCGATTATGCTTATCTTTTTTGCATCATATCATTGTGATAATGACAATCATTATCATTATTGTTATTGGTCTTATGATAACTATTTAAAACTAAAAGGCTTCTTTTGTGGTTTTTTTTTTATTTTTTTTATACAAAAATTAACTATTTTTAGAAGCAACAAAAAAACAATTTTTAGAAGCAGCAAAAGATGTCTCAAACGAAGCCTAAAGGATAAGATTCTCTAACAATTTATTTGACATTAAAATTTAAAAAAAAATGATAGCAAAATTATTGTATTTTCAATCTTGATGATGGTTTAATTATTTTTACACATTAAAAATTATATTTGAATATCTTAATTCAAATTATATAAAAGTGATAAAAAAATCATTTTATTTACTTTATATTCATATTATATAAAAAAAGAGGAAAAAGAAAGAGACAATTAATGAAAGAAGCTCTAAAAAATTCTCTAGTTTTTGCCAATGAGAGCTTAAAAATAGAAAGCATTTGATTGTCCTAACTTCATCATTTGAAACTTGATACATTTACAAAAGAAACTTGCATGATTGCATGAATCTCGAGAAAATATTTGAATTGAAAATTTTCACAATTAAATTTAGGATTATTTGAATAACAATTATAACAAACTTATAATCGAACTAAATGACTTAATGAAACGAATCCAACGATACTAAAAATTGTCCAATCTGTTCATAATGCCCAAAATTATTTCTTTAACCTTGCTTCAATTGATTTTTATATTCAGATTCAAATAATCATATTATTGTTTGTATGTATTATGAAAAATCAATATATTCTATGAAAATATGCTTGCAAATTCCATTCGATTTTTTTTTTTTAAATAGCTTGCGAGAAGCGCCATGGCTGTTGAAGAACTCCAGTAGCTATCACCACAATGACCATCACATGATTTTGCTGCCAATAATCGCTACTAAATAATCACTGCGATCAGTTCTAAACTCCTGACAATATGTAATACTTTTTGACTTTTTGTTAGGCATTAGCTATTTGCCTATGGACATTATAATCTTTATAAAGAAAAATTAAGCTATGTTATTGAGTATTAATTGTCCATCTACATATACTTGATTTATGTAATCCCTATTGGGAAACTTAACCCTTATCTTATTCAATGATAGGGAAAAAAGGATTCTTATATCACTAACTATAGTAGATTTTTTAATTGGGCCAAGCCCGATAGTTTTTTTCTTTTATGAATTTGTCACATATTTTTTTTTTTGTCTTACAATTTTTATTTGTGCGTTTTTAATTTTTGCACAATGTTGAAACCTAAAACATACACAACCAACTCAAATTTTCTAACATGTAACAACCCTCTATTTATAAGTTCATATCAATATAAAATAATACAAATAAGCACTACAATTATATTTTCATTGAAAGTCCAAGAATAACTTTGAATAGGATGACTCTAGCAGTAATTTTCAATAAAAAAATAAATCTGGCTCAAGTTGACTCGAGCTTGGCCTATGAGTCAAGTTTGAGCCAATTTAGATTTGACTTGTTAGCTTGAAAATTAGCTCATTTAAAAATACTAATGTAAAATATGCTTACAATATATTAATATTTAGAAAATTGAGTATAAAGTTATTAAAAAAATTAAAAAACTATATTTCAATTTTTATATTAATTAAAGTTTTATTATTTATCTTTTAATTTTTTAATTTTTATCATTTATTGATTCATTCTAATAATTGTTTAAGGTATAATTAATTTTTTATAATTGTTGTGCCATGGAGTATTCGCGACGATAGAGAAATATGAAGTTTAACGTCTTAGCATTGTACGAAGATCCAGCACACAATCAGATAAGAGAGAGGGTGTACCGTTCATAAGAGACACTATAGTGTTTACATGGAAACCTCTGAAAAGAGGGAAAAACCATAGGGCCTGGCCCAGTTTCAATGAATACACTAGTATTTGCAGTCGATTACAAATGAGGCCCTTTCTTGGGAGAAGGCCTTGGCTTGATGGTACAACTGTACATCACATAGACGGTATTAAATGGTGGGAGTTACAATATAGACATGTTTGTTTGGTTGGCAAGACTATAGTCGATAGGATAGAGGTCGAAAACACCGTTGTCTAGTGATGAAGGTCGAAAGGACCATAGTAGATGATGGAGGTCGAAAGGATTGTAGTCGGAAGGAGATAGAGATCCGAAAGACAGTAGTTGGCATGAGATAGGGGTCAGAAAGACCGTTGTCTAGTGATGGAGGTTGGAAGGACCACAATAGGCGAAGAGGTCGGAAGGACCGTAGTCAATAGGAGATAGAGGTCCGAAAGACCATAGTTAGCAGGAGACTGGGTTTAGAAAAACTATTGTCAGGTGATGGAGGTCAGAAGGACCATAGTAGGCGACGGAGATCGATAGGACTGCAGTCTGTGGGTGACGTAAGTCAGAAGGACCGTAGTCGGCAGGCAACAGAGGTCATAAAGATCGTTGTCTGGTGATGGAGGTCGGAAGGACTGTAGTCGGTGGGCGACGCAAGTCGAAAGAACCGTAGTCGGCGGGTGACGGAGGTCATAAATGCTGTTGTCTAGAGACGGAGGTCGAAAGGATTGTTGTCGGTGGGCGACACAAGTTGAAAGAACCGTAGTCAGCGCGCAATGAAGGTCAGAATGATCGTTGTCTGACGACGGAGCACAGAAAGATTGTTTTAGGTAGAAGTCTAGCAATGTACAAAAATCCATCATCAGATAGATGTCCGGTGAAAGTCTAACAACGAGTAGTAGTCCGACGTCAAGTAGAAATCTGGCGACGAGCGGAGGTCCGATGTCGGGTAGAAGTCTAACGTTAGTCGACGGCTGAGGAGAACTCCGTCATTAATGGTATTTGGGAAAAACTATAGAGTCACTTGGAGATCGGACAGAATTCCGGCGTCACTTGGAGATCGGGTGAAGTTTTGGCATCAATTGGAAGTCGGGTGAAACTCCTGCGTCACTGGAAAGGTGGGCTGAACTTCGGCGTCACTTGAAAGTCGAGCGAAACTCCGACAGTTGTCGAGGAGGAGTTTCTTCCCTCCTTCTTTTCTCCTCTTCTTCCTTCTTACTTGGGTCCTTCCCTTTTCAAGAGAAATGAGAGGTATGTTTATAAATTTTTGGAGTGACATGACTCGTAAATAGGTGAGAGATCAAGGTAAATGGAGAGTGATTGGATGGACGACCGATATTAAATCCCTCGATCGTGGATCATTTGTTGGACATTTGAAGGTCTTAATAATGTCGGAATTCCGCGATCTTGGGCTCGTTGGATTCGTCTCGTTAAGCTGCTCGATTTGACTATAAGCGCGTAATGTTTGGAAACGGTTTGGTAATCCAAATTGTGGTTCGAACCTTCCAACAACATTTCGGGTTATTGATTTGGACTCATTTGGGCTCAGATTGAGTCGAATTTGGTGTCGTTGGGTTCGTATTTCCAGGACACTCAAATTGATTATAAGTTTGTTGAAATGAGAGTTCGAATGGTTCCAATTTTAATTTTGGAAGTTTCCATCTTGAGGATGTATCAATAATAAATAAGCCAACTCATAAAATTAAATTCAAATTACAATTTAAAATTAATTAATTAATTTAATTTAAGCCCAAATTGGAAGTGGTTCGAGCTGGGCTGGGCTCCAATGCCCTAACAAATCTTTTCCTTTGCACGCCTGGTTCACAACTTGGGTTAATAAAATCGATTACTGTGATTCACCGAACCAAGCCAAGTAGGCGAGCTCTTCATCCGTTCTCTCCATTTCTCGTCGCCCCCACTCCACTTTCTTCCCAGTACGAGCTTACTCTCTTACCCTCTGTCCCTCTCTCTTTCAATTCCTGCTGCTGTAGCAACTGAGGGAAAACGCCTACGCTTCTCGTTCCGAGGTGTGTTTTGTTGTCTTGCTTTTATTCGCCCTCTTTTCTTCATCAATGAAAATTTTCTGCTTAGGGTTTTGAAAGATAGGTGACTCGAGCTTTTATTCCTGAAAGTAAGATTATTTCTTATTCGCTCCCTTTTAGGCGATTCGTCTGACAAACAGCGCAAGCATCGCTATTATATTCTATTAGCAAGTGGAGCATTGGTCTGGCTAAAACCCCAAACCCTAGGTCCCCAGCTTCAAGTTTCGTTTGTGAAGCTTCTTGCTTAAATTGATGTGTTTTCTGCATGACACTGCATACGATAGGAAACAATTAGACTGCCGTTGAGTAGTTATGAAGATGAGGGCATTGAAGTTTAGAAGTTGGGAATATTGAATGCGTACTCTATGAGTGATGTATTTCGATACATTGCTTAGAAAAAAAAAATGTTACAGGATAGTGATCTGTCTAGATATGGAGTGCTGAAAGACTTGTAACTTTTAAATATATTATTAATGATAGATTTATTCTGTGTTGGCACTATAATTGGTGTATTGCTTGTCTTTTTTTTTTTTGTGTGTGTTTTACCTGGCTTCTTTCTAGACCTTGCTTTTCCTGCTTGTTTTGAGGGTATTGATACCATAACTTTTAGGAAGTAAGCTTACCGTGGTTTGCTTTTCGTACATAACGTTCTAACATAAATTCTTAAACATGATTGGCGTTGTTATTTTTCTGTGTTATGACTAGGTTAGTTTTTTATGTTTTATTTTTCCATGTTATTACTAGGGTAGTGCATTTAAGGGCTGTTTGGCTACAAGCACGATTTAACTTGAATAGGATTTACTAAATCCTGTAAATCCAGATTTAGTAAATCTTGCTAAAGTTAAATCCTAAAAACTGTTTGGTAACATGAGTGCAAATCCCGTTAAATCAAGTGGAGCTGTTTGACAATGTAATCTAGGATTTAAGACAATTATTTGTAATATGAATTATATTTAAAATTCATCTATTCTCATAGTGACTAAAGTTTTAATATTAAAAATTTGAATGTTGCAAAGTACCAAGATCATTACATAATTGACATTATGAAGGAAAACTTGATGGAGATGTGGACTACAGTAGAACACTATAAAAACCTAATGCAACATCACTATAATATATAATAATAAGACAATAAAAGTGTCCGTCTTTGAAAGTACGGATTGCAGTCACGATGATCGACGTCGTTGATTGAGTGCTTGTAAATATTTATTCTCATTAGTAAATAGCATATGAAAATAAATTAAATTTTAGCAAAGGTAAATGTAGTAAATCCCGTGCTTCCCATAAGCCGATGGAAATTGAATGCCTAACTGATTCACCCTTAATTCTCTCCCCATTTGTTGTGTGCATGTTAGGGTGCTCATCATTTGTCTGCACTTCACCCAATTTGCTATCACATTGGATCTCAATTTGGGACATGTTGAAGTACATGTCGTGTCTAGGATAACGCCCTATGAAATTATGCAGCATAATACAAGAAAGTACATCAGCCTGCACTTTTAAAGGACATTATCTCATTTTAGTTAGCACTTGAATCCTCTCTTTACAAATATCAAATGTTTGCTCTGCTGTGTTATGTAATTGGGCATGCCGATGATTGTGTTAGACCGGTCCACTGGACATCAATCTAATCTATCAATCTAGGCTCAGGCACGAACAGGGCGGAAGAAATTTCCGCCCGCTGGAATGCCGAGCGAGCCGCACGGCGTGTGGGAGCCAAATAGGAAAGGAATTTTGGGGAGTTAAGAGGGAAATTTGAATGTAGGGACTGTTTAGGGAATTCCTTTTGATTTGTTTGCATTAAATATATGTTTTTCCTAGGGTTTGGGCATCTTGAATTTGGCTGAAATTTGAGATCTCTTAGATTTAGGTTTTCTTTGGGCTCTAGCGGCGTCTAGAGATTTGGGAGAGATCGATCCTCCTCTCGAATTGAGGATCAATTGTATCTTTGCTATTTTATTCATCGACGAGTGGAATACAAGCTTTTCTTTGAGTTTTCTCTCAGATTTCCTTGTGGAATTTGCTGTTTTTTCTGCTGTAAACAACAGATTTATGCTATTTTCTGCTGCGGACAGCAGTTTTGCTGTTGAATGTTCGCCGATTTTGGTTAGGTTACTTGCGAACGCAAGTGTTTCCTATCAGATTGTAAAGCTTTTGTTCCGCTGAGTATCTATGAGATATTTGCCCATGGTACTTACTTGGATGGCACCGAAATCCCCTAAATGGTGCCATAAGCTTTTCTGTGTTTGCATATCCAAAGTCTACTAAGTAATATTTACCTTGGGAAACTGTGAAGTCTCCTTTCTTCACTGCTCATCATAGTACCCGCATATTAGCTACAGGCACCTCCCAACCAGAGGTAATGTAGACAAATTGATGATCAAATGATACACAACCGCCATTACATTATGCGAAGTAAAACCTTTTTATATTTTGATATCTATTTTGTAACTTCTTACTCACAATATCTGAAATGTATGTACTGTCAATTGTACCAAGAGCATTTTGAGAAAAAGGGTAGAACTGTGCGTTGAACCGTACGAATGGATGACAGTCAAAATCTGCACGAGGTAATTTAATAAACTCTTTTGACAATGATACAATGAATCTAAGCACCAAATTAAAATAAAGACTCACTGTCTCAAGTGAGCGTTGATTTAATTCACAAAGTTATCTGTACGAATGTGTGTGTGCAACCCCCCATAGAAAAATAGCCAATTGTTTATCTACCCATATGCATCAAGTATACCTTCGGAGTCCATGAGAAACCAGTAAACCCTTCAATTGCCTAAATGCCTTTGCTGGAATTCCAAAACAATTGTTGTTGTCGCAACTGCGGAGGGAAAACGCCTACGCCTCTCGTTCCAAGGTGTGTTTTGTTTTCTTGCTTTTATTCGCTCTCTTTTCTTCATCAATGAAAATTTTCTGCTTAGGGTTTTCAAAGATGGGTGACTCGAGCTTTTGTTCCTCAAAGTAAGGTTATTTCTTATTCACTCCCATTTAGGCGATTCGTTTGACAAACATCGCGAGCATCTCTATTATGTTCTATTAGCAAGTGGAGCATTGGGTTGGCTAAAACCCCAAACCCTAGGCCCCCAGCTTCAAGTTTCATTTGTGAAGCTTCTTGCTTAAATTGATGTGTTTTCTGCATGACACTGCATACGATAGGAAACAATTAGACTGCCGTTGAGTAGTTATGAAGATGAGGGCCTTGAAGTTTCGAAGTTGGGAATATTGAATGCACACTCTATGAGTGATGTATTTCGATACATTGCTTAGAAAAAAATTTGTTACAATGTAGTGATCTGTCTAGATATGGAGTGCTGAAAGACTTGTAACTTTTAAATATATTATTAATGATTGATTTATTCTGTGTTGGCATTATAATTGGTGTATTGCTTGTCTTTTTTATTTTTTATTTTTGAGTTTTACCTGGCTTCTTTCTAGAGCTTGCTTTTCCTGCTTGTTTTGAGGGTATTGATACCTTAACTTTTAGGAAGTAAGCTTATTGTGGTTTGCTTTTCATACATAACGTTCTAACATAAATTCGTAACCATGATTGGCGTTGTTATTTTTCTGTGTTATGACTAGGTTAGTTTTTTATTTTTTATTTTTCCATGTTATTACTTGGGTAGTGCATTTAGAGGCTGTTTGGCAACAAGCATGATTTAACTTGAATAGGATTTACTAAATCCTATAAATCCGGATTTAGTAAATCTTGCTAAAGTTAAATCCTAAAAATTGTTTGACAACCTGAGTGTTAAATCCTGTTAAATCTAGTGGAGCTGTCTGTTTGGCAATGTAATCCAAGATTTAATGCGGTTATTTTTAATATGAATTATATTTAAAATTCATCTATTCTCATAGTGACTAAAATTTTAATATTAAAAATTTGAATGCTGCAAAGTACCAAAATCATTATAGAATTGACATTACAAAGAAAAACTTGATGGAGATGTGGACTACACTAGAACACAATAAAAATCTAAAGCAACATTACTATAGCATATAATAATAAGACAATGAAGGTGTCCATCTTTGAAAGTACGGATTGCAGTCACGATGATCGATGTCGTTGATTGAATGCTTGTAAATATTTATTCTCATTAGTAAATAGCATATGAAAGTAAATTAAATTTTTAGCAAATGAAACTACAATAATAGTTGTGCTTCCCATAAGCCGATGGCAATTGAATGCCTAACTGATTCACCATGAATTCTCTCCCCAATAGTTGTGTGCATGTTAGGGTGCTCATCATTTGTCTGTACTTCACCCAATTCGCTATCATGTTGCATCTCAGTTTGGGACATGTTGAAGTACGTCTCGTGTCTATGATAACGTCCTATAAAATTATACAGCACAACATAAGCAAGTACAATATCAGCCTTCACTTCCAAAGGAAATTGTCTCATTTTAGTTTAGCACTTGAAACATCTCTTTACAAATACCAAATGTTCACTCTAGTATGTTATGTAATTGGGCATGTCGATGATTGTGAAGTTCTTGTTTTGCAGAGTATCTACAAGATCTTTGCCCACGGTACTCACATAGATAGCACCAAAATCCTCTGAACGGTACCATAAGCTTTTTTGTGTTTGCATATCCAGAGTCTACTAAGTAATATTTACCTTGGGGAACTGTGAAGTCTCCTTTCTCTACCGCCCATCGTAGTACCCGCATATCAGTTACAGGCCCCTCCCAACCAGAGGCAATGCAGACAAACTGACAATCAAATGATACAACCGCCATTACATTATGTGAAGTAAAACCTTTTCTATTTTGATATGTGTTTTGTAACTCCTTATCCATAATAGCTGGAATGTGTATACCATCAATTGCACCGAGAGCATTTTGAAAAAAAAGGTAGAACTGTGCGTTGAACCGTATGAATGAATGACAATCAAAATCTGCACTAGGTAATTTAATAAACTCTTATGCCAATGATACAATGGCTCACCAAATTAAAATAACAACCCACTGTCTCAAGTGAGTCTTGATAGAATTCACAAAGTTGTCTGTACGAATGTGCGTGTGCAATCCCCACGTAGAAAAATAGCCAATTGACTACCCCTATGCATTGAGTATCCCTTAATAGTCCACGAGAAACCAGTAAATCCTTCAACTGCCTAAATGACTTTGCTGGAAGTCTAAAACAATTGTATGCTCATAGTGGATGCCCGGACAGAATATCAACTACGTATTGCTGTCCAGTATATACCCTATTGTAAATGGGTCTTTTCATTCTGGGCGCATCCTTGTCTGAACAATCTTCATCAGTGATGGACATTAGGTACTCACTAAGTTCATTACCTACCCAAATGTTCTCCCTAAGCATGAAATTGAATTAATTAATTAGTTCACATTGGACATAGTTCGACATCATACTTCTTGTTGCACATTTTAAGAAGATGATACAAAAACTATGAAAATAATAATAAAGGAATTTTGAAGTAGAATAAATCAACTATTTGAAAAAAAATTCTTTTACAGGTGAAGGTGTACTCTAAGAAAACAATGCGGCACTAACATAACAAATTTGATCTACAAAGCTAGCATAACATAACACATTGACAAAGATGTAAAGAAGTAATATGGTGTAAGGTAACACAACTTCAAACTCAAGGGAGCCTAGCCGGTGCTACGTAGTAACGTGGGTGGCGACTAAGCACTCCCTCAATCCATCGTAGTAAATCACCATTCCATCTCATCAAAGTACTTTTATTCTCCTGGTTTTCCATCGAAGCGTCATGAACAACAAGTATAGCCTTCGTGGAGATTTTCTCAATGCTACCCAACTTATCTAAACATTCATCGATAGTCACTGGACACATTTTCTCATATTTGGAAAGGAACTTTCAGTGTTCTTGTTATGTTGAGCTACAACTTTCATTCGTTTTACCTGCCCTTTTTTAGTACGTTGGTTTGGTCTACTTACATCATCTGAAGAATGTTTACTTCTACTCATTGGGCCGCACTTGGCTAATCATTTGCATCTTCGTTGGTGTCAAGGTATCCTTGTTGATCGTTTGTGTACACATTATCATCAAAACTTATTTCATTAGCTCGCATGAAGTCATCACTAACTGATTGGCTATCCTGTTCTTCCATTGGCTGAGGCCGATTCACATTATGGCTGGAACGTGCAGTTGTGCCTATCACAATGTTATCCCCACAAACTTTTTCAAAGATACTGTATTGATGAAAGGGATTCCTATGAAACCTTGCGAGCTTCGGCTTACAAAAGATGGTTTACAAATTAAAGAATTTCAACATGTTATTTAAAACCTAATGACTTATAGTTATAGAATAACTTGTAGAATTTCGTCCCAAACTTTGTCTGTCACAATATGCAAATGGAGATTCTCGTCCCATCCCCAACCACTATGATTTGAAAGTTGGTATAACATGCAAAAATTAGATTTCATATTCTTATAACATATCATAATAACAGACTTCATGTGGTTTGTGCCTAGTCGACGATTCAAGCACTGAACTATCTCATACTACGCTTCCTTCTTCAAACCTCTAATGGTGATGTTCCCACACAAAAATTGTTCCATTAGTAGCTCTGCTAGGATAACGTTATGGTGTTTTGGCCACTTGGTGATTTGTTACTAGACTTTGGTGCTCTCGTATGAATTGATATATTTTCCTCTCTGTCTCCTTATGTAGACTTCCCCTTCAAAAATTGCTTATTCATCGCAGCACAAGTAATAACTTGTGTTTGTATGTACTATGTAGTAGTGCTTTGATTATGGAATAAATGTTTTAAAAGACATGATTCAAGAAATGAAAATATACCACCATTATCAGCATTTGTTTTGTGTTGATGCGGAGTGTCTCTAGATGGTAGATAGATGACATTTGAAGATTCTCTATCACTCAAATCATTTAAACTTTCAAATAGGATTAGGTCGTAAGTTTTTTTCCGGGCCTCTTAGGAAGAGAACATGGCACTGGTTTTTGTAATTTGTTTTTGCCGCTCTTTCTTCGTTTGGTCGAGTTGATCCAAGCTATATCTACACCGCCATGTTGCGGACTTTCTACTAGCCGGGGTGTCCTCCATGTACTCATAATGAAATCCCCTAATATTCAATCTATGATATGATCATGATGTTTAAAGCAAAAAATCTTAGTACATACATGAGCATTTTCGAAAAAATTCATTTTAAATTAGTTCAAACTTCTATACAGAAAAGCACAACAATGTTCAATAAAGAAAAACCATCTCAGAGAATCTAAGAATCCCCATTGCCACTTCTAAATATTGACATACATTTGTCTCGAAACCCACAATCATATATAATAATTTGATTTAATAATTACTGCAAAATAATTAACAACTCTAATCAATTTCTTCATTGTACAAATCCCTTTCCAAATCAATCTGTGCGTTCATAGGAAATCAACAAAATAGTAAAAAAATTGAACAATTGATGACAAATTAAACCTACGAAACCGGAAATAAGAACCCCTAACCCAGGTGCTGTTTACATGAAAACGTCATAGCAAGAAATATTTAAGACATGCAACAAAACAAATTATGTGAGTGTCGGATGCAGTCATTGACGAGAGCGGGCTTGAGAACAAAGAAGGAAAACTTACCAATTGCGGGAGTTCCTCGACAGCTTTCGGGAGTCATACTGCGAGGTGAACAAGTCGAGACACTGGACGCGAAGTGCAGTAGATCTATTGATGTAAGCAAAAATTTGGGTAGGGACCCAAATTTTTGCAAGCAAATGAAATTCTTCCTATAACTTAAAAGATACTCAAAACACTACAAAAATAACATAAGATAAAGCGACAATCATGACAATATTTGCACAAAACAAAACACAACATTACTATTATAAAAGAACTTACAAGACGCTTACAAACTTTGACGACATGAAGACGACTTAAAACATTGATAACATGACACAATTGAACCATAAAACAGAACCTAATGATGCTTCATTCCATTAGAAGAAGGATATAGGTGGGGTGGTCACTTGTAGATAGAAGAAAGAGGTTAGAAGCCAAGACGAAGTGGAGACAAGCTCGCAAGCTTTCTCAAAGAGGGAAGGAAAGAGGGAAGTTGGACAAAGCTCGCAAACTTTTCCAAACAACAAACCCGCAGGTTATGGCTTCCAAAAATCACATTATAAACTCACATAAACTCCTTACAAACTTATATTTATAGGCAATAGAAGGAATACAAACAGCCACTAAAACTCCAAATAAACCAATTAGAATTTATGGAAATAAAAAGCCAACAGCTACTTCAACATTTCCCAAACGGCACAGCAAAACAGAGGAAGGGATTCACAGAACCAGCAGAACCGAACAGCCAGCCGCAAGAGCCAAAGCAGCCAGCCCGTGGAACCTAGCAGCAGCCGTGGGAATCAAAGCGCAAGGCACGGGAAAGCCACCCAGCACAGGAAACTAGCAGCCAACCACGGAACCAAGGGGGAAAAGCACAGGAACCAAGCAGCCAAATTCGGAAACCCAAGGGACAAAGCACAGGAAAACAACAAGCGCAAGGAAATGAAAAGACAAAGGGAAGGAGAAGAGGTTCTAGTGGAGAAATCAAAGAGACACAAGAAGAAACCAAAGGGGAATGAATCTAGATTTGGCAATAAACACACAAATTATGAGCTGAACTAAGTAGTGGAAAAGCATTTATGAGCTGAAACATAAGAAGAGGCTCATTAATGAGTTGGCTGAAGTAGAACTTATAAAATTTCAACTCTACTTGTTTTGAAACCCCCCCCGCCTACATCATCTATGGAGATGTGGTAACTGGACGAACTATTGGGTCCTTAAAATACGAAGGAGTGGATGAAGAAAGAGCGGGTGCCTTCGACAGAGGGATATGGAGAGGATTGAGATCGCATTGTAAGGGAATGGCGCGACAACAACTTGACGTTTGGAGCCAGCAGGTATGTTATCTACTATGCTGTCTACTCTCATATTCCCCCCTCTCGCGCGGTGAAATGTTAAATCCACCGAACTGTAGGATTTAGAAAATCTGGGATTTACCGTAAAAACAACGAGATGGACGATTTATTTGGCCGTAACTTCCAACGGCGCCATAAAACTTGTCGTGCTCAAATTGGGCATAAATCCCATTGCCAAACAACCCCTTACTCTTGCTAACAAGTAATGTTTTTGTGGATATATTTATTTAAAAAAAATTGGAGAAGTCAAATTTAGACATGATTTCTTGTTTTGAATATTTGACATTTTCTTATGTTTTGGTTCCTTGGGCAGTCCTTGCTTAAGTTGGCTTCTCCTTGTTGTTGAAAGCACGCTGTTAGTGCTTTTTTTTTTAAATTTTGGCAAACCAAAACTAGTTTGACTATTTATTTCTTTGCCTCGATTCTTTTATTATAATTTGTTTTTCATGTTATTCTTGAACGTTAAATTATTTAGTAACTTTCTAGTTTATTCGAACTGCCTTTTATTGATGGATTATATTTGCATCTAGACTTTTTGGCCTTGGCTATTTTAAAGTTTTCAATCTCCTTGTAGTATGGATGATGAAAGGCAAGTAGCTTATGGGAATTACAAGCCAGGTGGTTCCAAAAAACGATCCAACTCGGAATTGGATAACGGGAGGCACAAGAGGCACAACACTAATGATGGCCATAATGCTAAGACCATTGATACTCTGTATCGCATACTCTGCCCTGTCAAGAAAATTGGTAGCGTTCTTGGGAAAGGTGGTGATATAGTTAATGCTTTGAGAAAAGAGACCCATGCAAAGATAAGAGTTGTTGATGCCATTCCTGGCGCTGATGAGAGAGCTATTATTATATTCAGTTATGTTCAACAAGAAGTAGACAAAAATAATAAAAGCGAAAATACTGTCAGTGATGATCCTTTTGGAGGTGGTAATCTAGATATGAAGCCACATTGTCCAGCTCAGGATGCTCTCCTAAAAATTCATGATAGGATTGCTGCAGATGAGTATATGCGCGGCGGAGTGGTGCATGAGAACACCGAGCCCAATGATGATGTGATTGCATGTATTCTTGTCCCTCAAATTCAAATTGGCTGCCTTCTTGGAAAGGGTGGAAATGTTATTAAAAAATTACAGCTGGATACTAGTGCGCACATTCGCATCTTACCTTCAAAGGACCTTCCACCTTGTGCTTTGAGATCCGATGAACTAGTTCAGGTAAAATCCTTTTTTGATCCACTTTTGGTTTATTTACCGTCTATCATTCAATTAGTAATTGGATAGATATTTATTGAATTTCTCTATGATTGGTGCGCTATTTCTATGGGATTGTAACTTGGTAGAAGCTTTGAAAGTAGCACCACATGCACCAGTCAGTAGAAATGTTTAAGAAGTAGGATTCATCAAACCCAACAGTAAATAGTTAAGGCAAGACTAAGGACTATGATGATGATTATAAAATTAGAATTGTAAGTTATTTGGTATCCTCAAGTGCTTTTCTACTTTTGCAAGCATCTCACACTATTGATGCATTTCAGTTTTTAAAGTTCACTATTTTGCATTTGTTTGATGACAATGCTAGTGAGCCACATAGTATGAGCAACTGCTGCAACCCTTATTTTTGACATCGTATATCTCCATACATCCTCTCAATCGTGTCCTATTCCTTTTTTGTTTTACCTAATAAGCTAAATGTTATGAACAACCAATGTAGTCTTTTACCTCTTTACATCCTCTTCACCATCCCTCTGCTCCTACTTGTTCCCTTTGTTCTTTCCCTCCCTTTCACCTCGCTCTTGAAAGTCTCGATGGCCCTAGTTCTTCCTACTTACAAGTTGGATATGTGGGGTTTGGTTCATTACAGCATCTATATAAGTTGACAAGTAGTTAACGTTGGCAATACATATAAATTAAGTAGCATCTCACTTGCATTCTACTGTGTATTGATATTGACAGGTATCACACATAGTCACTACGTGTTTTTAATAGTGCATAGATTTGTTCGATCATTGTTCTATATCTAAAAGTTCTTGTAAGAAGTAGAGGGTGAGAGTGAGATTTTTACATGTTTCTTTTATTTACATATGTGCATAGAAGTAGTATCACCTGAAAGGTTTCAATTTGATGCACACTTGTTGAAATTAAACTGATACAATTAGTTACTAATGTTAGAAATTGGTTATAAAGGGTTAATGAAGCTAATACGGATAGTCTAGCAATTATTAAGGGTTTGTATGATGAAAACATATCTGAGTTTATGATACTTGTGCTGTTTAAAAAATGCCTGTAGCCTTGAAAGAAGACGAAAAATGCCAATTTTAGATGTTTTGGCCTCCTTGGTATTCATTCTAAAGTTTTCGGATATGAATTCACATGTTCATATGCACCTTATTGACTGCGGAACTCTGAAATGTTGAACTATTGTTGGCACTTGTTTTCTTTAGTTTCCATGGCGCCCTCTTATCAAGCTTTTTATGTGTAACAAGGTTTACAAATACCTTTTTGTATTTTAGAGTGTAGTCTGATAAAAATTTGATTCCAGGTTTCACCTATATCAGTTATTTTATATTTATATTGCAGTGTTAGTTCATTATTGTCCCGTTTTCAGTGATATCATGTTTTTTTTAATAAAATGGATAATTCATGATTTATCGATGAACAAGCATAATATGCCAGTTTTCTAAGAGTGTTGTATTTTCATGCATTCCATCTCTGTGGAGTTTCTTACTTTGGGAACTTGTTCTTACCGCTAGTTTTAACAAACTAGCAGGATGATCTGCCAGCTTGCTTATGTGTGATTGGCCCTGCTCATGCTATTTGCTAACGCATTGATACTCTTTAGATATCTGGTAAGCCAATCAATGTTAGAAGGGCGCTTTTTGAGATTTCCACTTTATTGCATCATCATCCACGAAAAGATAACCCTCCTTTAGAAGATATCATATCTGCAAGTACCCAACACCTCTACCCATCAGGTTCTGAAATACCTCCTCCTTTGCCGCATGGAAGTCCAATGTTGTCCCGCCATACGCCACCAACATCATGGTTTGATGGGTATAGAAATGAATCATCTAGTCACGGCCCAAGCAGTTTTAACCTTGGTGCTGTCAGAAATGGAGTTCTGGAAGATTTTTCCATAAAAATTTTGTGTGCTACAGAGAAGATTGGCAGTGTAATTGGCAAAAGTGGTTCAAATGTTAAACAATTAGAGAAGCAAACTGGTGCTAGGATTCATGTCGAGGACACTGATTCAGATGCTAAGGAACGAGTGATTATTGTTTCTTCTAAGGAGGTAAATCTTCTACTTCCTGTCATCCTGTGCCATATGTGTCATTCTAGTACCTGTCTTTCTGTTCACGTTGTGATGTCAACTATAGCGACATTTTATTTTCTGTTGACGCATTTAGGGTCCTGCAAATCCAATTTCTCCAACCATTGAGGCTGTTCTTCAACTCCAAAGAAAAACTAGCGAAGTAGCTGAAAAAGGCACAATCACAACAAGGCTTCTTGTCCCCGCAAGTAAAATTGGTTGCATTCTTGGAAAAGGTGGAGATGTAATTACAGAAATGAGGCGTCGTACCCATGCGGATATTCATGTTTTCTCAAAATCTGACAAACCAAAATATGCAGCTAATGATGAAGAGCTTGTTCAGGTATTCATTGTTACGTCCATTTTTGGCAGGTTCTCCTGCTTTTATTTATTTAATTATCTCAACTGAAGAATTATGCTGATTCTATGTAAGAACTGAGAAGAGACTATAGTTATTAGTGTGTTTTTAATTCAAAATCATCAACTTCGGAAAAAGAATTTTATTCAGGGTAACTTAGAAATTGATCATGCTGTATTCGAGTGAATATATTATGTTTTTTTTTTTTATTTTTTTTGAGTGAATATATTGTGTAAAGAATCTTGGAAAAGTAAAATAGGGTAAGGCTGGAATTTTATTAGAGAAAAGTAAAATCAGATTATATTGATTAGAAAAAAATGTAAAGAATCTTGGATTTTATTTATAGATTAGACCAAGAAAGGAAGGCCTAGATGAAGTAAGCAAGTTGTGCAAACCCTGGTGAATGGTCTAAGAATAGGTACCTTGGTGAGGCCTCCTTTCCTAAATTTCATTATATTTGGAAAATCATATGATTGCTCAATTGTATAGAAAGAACACACTTGAGCAGTGAAGCATATGCTTCAGTTGTGAAGTGCAAAGAGAGTTGATCCTCTTTTTTCACATATATCATTGTTTTATGATTACGGTTGTTTTTTTTTTCTTGTCGTTGAGCCCATTTTTTTCTTCTTTTGGGTGAGGCACGTTTAAATCTTGTTATTGCTATGACATTTGTGTAGGCTTGCATGTGTTCTTTTAGTTTCCTCATCTTATCCATTAAATTCTTTGCCAGACATCTACTATCATTTTTTTTCTATTTATGCTTACATCTATTGATTTTTTTCCGTGAATTATTCTTCATACTAGTATCTGATCTTTCATTTTTCTTTTCTTGTTGGGGCATTGTTGCTCATTCTTAAATTAATAATTTTATATTTTTATTGTTATAGACTGGTTCTTCTGTACTTTTGTTAAATAATGATTTGTTTGTCATTATTTTCTTGGTTTTGTTTTGTATGTAGCTTGATGCTCATATATAGTTTACTTTTGGTCAAATAGATTGGAAACTTCTACACTATTTTACATTGTATGTAAAACATAAATTTATATATTGGACTTTGCTTAAGGGAATTGAAATTGTATGATGCGATCTTCCATTGGAAAATGAATAAAAAATAGTTCCATGAAGAGGGAGGGGAAAAAGGATTTTATTATTATTATATATAACAACAACATCAACCTTTATCCCACTACATAGGGTCGGCTACATGAATCTTTTACTCCATTATGTCCTGTTGAGTTTTAAATTCTCATTGAAATCTAATAGAAAAAGGTAATTTCTAATACTTTTTAACCAAGTCTTTTTAGGCCTATCTCTACCTTTCTTAATATATTTGGCCAATTCTAATACATCTACTCGCTTAATCGAGTTATTAGAAGGCCAATGTTTTATGTAACCAAACCATCTAAGGCTACTCTCTCTAATCTTATTTCCCACTCGAGCTACTCCAACCTTATCACATGTATACTCGTTTCGCATTGTCTCTAAGAGTGAAGTCACTCATCCACCTGAGCATCCTTATCTCTGCAACACTTAACTAAATTTTTTTCTTTTTGTTTATAATGGTTAACATTTTGCACCATAAAGAATTGCAGGTCTCACTATCATCTTATATAATTTTCCCTTAAGTTTGGGGGATACTTTTCTATCACTGAACATACCTGATGCATTCCTCCACTTCAACCATACAACTTGAATTCTACTAAGAATATCCCCATCTATTTCACCATCACTTTAAACAATAGACCCGAGATATCTAAAACATGTACTATTTTTAATGATTTTATTCCCCAAAGTTTAATTCCCCTATTAGCTATCACTACGAAAATTATAGTCCATTTATTCGGTTTTAGATCTACTCAAACAAAAACTTTTGAACTCTAAGGTTGACCTCCATAATTAAAGTTTTCTTTCAACTTTCTCTCTAGTCTTGTCAACAAGAAGAATATCATCAGAAAAATAATATACTAGGATACATCCTATTGCAAATATCTAGTAAGAACATCCATGATTAAGCAAAAGATATGGGCTTAAAGTTGATCGTTGATGTAATACAACTAAAATAGGAAAATACTTGGTTAAATTGCCTTGTGTTTGAACTCAAGTAACAACTCCTACATACATATCCTTAATTACTTGAATATAAACATTATTAACTCCTTTTTGTTGACCTCGATATCAGTATTGAGTTGAATTGCACTAAAATGGTGAGCGAATGACTTGACGTTGCACAATAATTGTTCAAAATGTGTTGACCAAATGTCAAGATTGATGAAATAATGTTTGTTCACAAAATGAACAACACCGACATCTTCGGGACAACTGAAACAACCAAAATCTACACCCATGTTGGCTTGGGTTTTCGATCGACAACAATTGAAAATTTATGTGCACGAGAAACTCCCCACTAACCACTATCTCTCCCCCACTCATGGCACTCACACGCTAAAACCCTTAGCCAAAATCATATCCGTCGCATCCAATATGCACGAATCCATCCTCATGCAACCCATCTACCTTTCTCAATCTTCTCTCTCTCATTCTTGCGTGCACGATCCTAAGTTGAACCCCCCTTCTTCCCTTCAGCCACACACAACCCGACCTAGTCTCCTGCTCACCTTCGACACTAGCTCCCCGTGCACGGCTTGCAGCCCAGCCGCCGGCCACCACCGCATTTCCCTATCATCTCATTTTTTTTCTTCTTTTTCTTCTTCCTTTCTCTCCTCTTTCTTCTTCTTCTTTTTCCTCTCTTCGTTTCCTTCTTCTTCTAATTCTTTACATTCTTCTTCTTCCTTTCTTTCACCCACCTCCATCAACTCCTACCGTCAAAAATCCTATTTCTGCTAGCCACCTATAGCTGACAGCCCTTCTCACTAGTCCAACTCCCCTCTCTTTCCTTTTTCTGTAAAAAAAAAGCCACACACACATGTAATGTATATATATATAAAGAGGAGCCTTTGTCCGAATTCATAGCTGCAGAGAGGTACAAAACTGCACAAAGGTATACCTTATATTATCTTTCTTGCTTGAATAGAAAGTATTTAAGATCCCACATTCCATTGGTCTTAGATTTGGCTGGGAAGAACAAAGTATATGAAGACCTTGTGTCCGTTGTATCTTTGATTCGATCGGTAAGAGCAAGAACTATATGAAGACCCGTGTTCCCTTGATCTGTGATTGGTCTGTGAAAGACAAAAAAGGCTTTAGCCTACCCGACAACGACTGCGGGGGAGATGCTGGGAGGTTGCCAAAGTTTTAATTGACAAAGGACCATTAAATAACTAAAGTGAGTCTAAAAACATGATGATAGATCATATATAATTAATTTAATATATTAAAAAAAAGAAATGAAGATGTTTGCTTTTGAACTTGCTCGCTGTATATAATGTTAGAAGATGATCATGATATTTCGCTTATTTAACTTGTACCATGAGGGCAAGTTGTTATTAGCTAGAATATCTTGATACTCAGTAATGCATGGATTAAACACATTTTATATCCTCAATGAGCAAGCATTAGAAGGAACACACTGATATTTAGATTGTTGATGGCGGCAATTTATTGAAATAAAATCATACTAATGAAAGCGAGGAAGTATGCTGATCTCAATATTAATATAAACTTATCAATATAAATCTATTTTGCAAGACCAGTCCATGATCATTAGATAGTCATGTTAATTCAGATGTTATTACAATTTAAGGATCAAAATGTATATCATATGATGATCCTTATATACTATGTTAAATGATAGATTTGATTACCAAGTAGCTAAACATATATTGATTAAATTATAAGTTAACTCATGGCCTTTTATTGAAGAAATTCCTCTGTGGATGATGTTTTTTTCAGAAATGCCTTTTTTAAGCTTATGTGCAACATGCCTTTTTGAGTTCCTATCCATTTTGTTTAGGCAAGAACTTGTTTAATTCTTCAAATGTTAAAAGAAAGTATTATAGCCTCTAATGGTGCTATATTATATTAGAATATCAAATCTTACGGCCAACTCTTAAAATAGAGTAGTAAGCCCCAATTGAATTAAAACACTCGGTCTTTCCAATGAATGTAATCCCTACTAAATCAATTTCTAGCATTCCAATAGATGTTAGCCTTTCCATAACCAAATCTATTGGTCAGTCTCGCCCATAAGGCTAGTTGTAAGACCCATAATACGAGCAACTCATAAATAGAGCAATAAGTTCTATCTCTACCCAGCACAAAGGTGTCCTACACTTTTTCCCATATAAGCTTCTTATGGAGTCATTTTAATACTAGATTTGAAACTATTATTATAGGCAAATTCTATTAAAGGTAGACGAATTTTCCAATTTCCACCAAAATACTATACACATAATCGAGTAAATCCTCTAAAGTCTGAATTATTCTTTCTGATTGTCCATCCGTCTGAGGAATAAGTGTAGTGCTAAAGGTCAGTCTATTACCTAAGGTGATGCAGAACTAGCATGTGAAGACTTGCATTATGAAATTAAAAACAAGTTGAATTTAAAATCAGTAAAGATGGTGAAAGAGTTGGTTTAATTGTAAAGTCATGATGTGGAGGCTTTTGAACCACAATAATTGATTTGTAATATTGGATTTGACTCATCCATAAACGACAACCAATATGAATTGTAGGATATGTGACAACCTACCTACAAGTCATTGTGCAAAAATCTTTAATGAATGTCATAGCTAATTCATAAAGTCTATGTCAAATGCAAATCACAATGAAAAGTTGTACTATATATAAAGAGTTGTTTGGAGGTGACAACAAGAAATATGCGACCAACATGTATATGAAAAGCATGTCACACGCCTATAAACAAATGAAAGAAGCTATCATGATGGAGAATTTGATTGTCACCAACGACAATTGACGGGTGGACTAATGCATCAATTTGATGATACTCAGCCACCTATTAATCATGGGGATGTGTAAAATATGCTTCAAAACAAGTAAGAAAGGCAATCCACAAATAACAATTAA